TATTTCCCTGAACGAACTCTTTCACAAGAAGCTCTCCTGCTACTAAAATGCCTGATTGTATGTAAGTGCGTGTGATATGTGTGACAGTTTGTACGTGTTTAAGTCTGTGACTTGCGTAAGTTTGGACGATGAAGTGTGCGTGCGCATGGTTTGAAAAATGTATGTTTGAAGACACAAGATAAATAAAAATAGTTATTTTATTGCCCCTTCAAGAAATTACCACGCTCTCATATATTAAATTTTGTACCATACGAACAAAATATGTATCTAGGAATCTGTCAAAAAATACACTCTGAAAGCGTTAGTATGATCAACATACAAATATATCACATTACTATTTGAAACAGATAATTAACAAAAAATAAAATTAAAACACATCACTCACATAATATACAATAAAGTTTACAGATACTTTGTGTCGTGTCAGCTGCGGCAACATAACATTTTATTAAAAAACCCACCTCAAAAGTTTAAAGAGAAGTCTAGAATTACATCTACAAAATAGGCGCCTTGACGTCGAGTTGCGGACACCAGCCCGTTACATCAAGGACCAAGTACATCTATTTGCCAAGTTTTATTGAAATCTGTTATCGGAAAGTGAGTAAAATCCAAATAAATCGGATTCATCCCCTAACTTGGCACCCTTGTAGGTGGAATATTTTCTTCAGACTGGGACCACTACTGAGGTACCCTCTTTCCAACAAAAAAATAATAATTGAAATCGGTTCACAAATAATAATAATAATAATAATAATAAATCTTTATTGTTTCTCTCACAAAGTCTTAGTATAAATACAAAAACAGTGCTTAATTATCTAAATAGTACAATATTTAAGTCTGTGTGAGAGACTGGCATCCGTACTAGGAGACCTGTATTACAGATCACCAGCCCCTCCACACTCCGGCCCAAAGACAAGTACAGCTTACTTATACTTAGATAGTTACATCAAGAAATGACTTTATTAATAGACTTAAGGCGCGAGGGTGTGTGTATGTGTGTGAAGGTGTGTGCGTGCGTGCGTGTGTGTATGTGTATGTGTATTTGCGTGTACGTGTGTGTGTTCTGTGTGTGACAGAGAGTGTGATTGACTATGCAAGGTGTATACAAAACCCAACTTACCAAAATAATGAAATAACGATATTAATTTAGTATTACTTATTTTAAGTTGAGATAATTCACAGATTTTAAGATTAATCATAATTTAGATTTTATTTTAAGTTGGAACAATTAAGAGATTTTCAGTTTCATCATAACTTAGATTTTTAAGCCAACTAGTGACAACTCTTTTACAGTTGAATTTAGTGAGCGAGTATATTTTAGTTGTTTTATTTATTTTATTATATAAATACCCTCCTAGAAAACCGAAGAATCTATTCGAAAAAGCTGTGGTCCAGCGAGTAGAAGAATGACATACTTTATATTTCAAACGTTTGTTATTATGGAGCGAAGGATCATAGTTCAGAGCAACGTGTTGTTTTAATACAGTGTGCAGGACAAATAGTTGACGCACAGACAAGACATCACAAAGGGAATAAAGGTCTGAAGTAGGGAACATAAAGGGCAAAGACCGACTCACTTTCAGGACAGCTCGCTGAGCTCTTTCAACCTTTATTAAAGAAGATTTAGGTACTCCACCCCAAGCAGTGATGCAGTACGTTAGAACGGATTGGCATAACGCCAAGTACACCATATTAATGACACGGTTATCTGCGATGTGCCTAAGATTTTTAAAGATATATATTAGTTTACGTGTCCTAGCTGAAAGTAAGTCTATATGCATATTGAAACTCAAGGTGTTATCTATCATTACACCAAGATATTTGATATGGGAAGCTAACGTAAGACTGGGACAGAAGCACGTCGGGTCGCCGAGACAGGTATGGGCTAAGATGGTGTAGTCGTCATGAGTGGTCCATGGGATATTTTTAATTGAGAATGGAATATATTTGGTTTTTTCTACATTTAATGTTAGCCCATTGTTTTTGAGCCAAGAATAGACTAAGTTGAAACCGCTTTGAGTATCGGCGTACACTTCATGCCAAGTATCGCCATGAAAAATTAAGGCCGTATCATCGGCAAACGTCACAATCCTACCATTTCGGAGCTGGAGATTGCAGAGGTCGTTAATGTAGGCGAGGAACAGTGTGGGGCCTAAAACACTGCCTTGCGGCACGCCGTAAGTTATGGGCAGATCGCCACTAGTTACCTCCCCGACCCTAACCCTCTGCCTCCTATCCGTCAAGTAACCGGTAAACAGCCGAAGCTGATTACCCCTTACGCCCAGACATTCCAACTTCTGAAACAAAAGTGGTACAGAGACCGTGTCGAAAGCCTTGGCTAGATCCAAAAATATTGTTATAACTTTTTTCCTTTTTTTTTTCATCCCTTAACTTGGCACCCTTGTAGGTGGAATATTTTCTTAAAACTGGGACCACTACTGAGGTACCCTCTTTCCAACAAAAAAATAATAATTGAAATCGGTTCACAAATGTCTGAGTAATCGTGTAACATACAAAATCTAAACCTCTAAATGTTGGAATCACCTTCCACCACCAGTGAAGACGGCTGAGTTTATTTATACATTCAAACGAAAGTGCAAGGAATGGCTTATTGTGCAACAGAAGTCGTCATGTTTCTTGGGCGGTTCTATCCGATCCGATCCGATCCGATCCGATCCGACCCGATCCGATACGATACGATCCGATCCGATCCGATCCGATCCGATCCGATCCGATTCAATCCAATCCAATCCAATTCAAACCAATCTAATTTAATCTAAACCAATCTATTTTTTTTAAACTCATCAAATCATGTTTTTGTTGTTGTGATTACTATACTATGGCAACGGTACTAAACCGACGAGTGCGGAGTGATTTTAAACTAAAAGAGAACCGAGATAGTTATTAAATTTAAAACAACTAATCTCCGGATATTTCACGTAAAACATGTTTGGTTATTAATTAAAGAAAATACTAGGGCACGGAGTCTTACACACGAACATTAACCCACATAGAACGTGATGTCATTGTTGCGCATGCTCATCCTATACGACTAGCAATGAAGAGCACGTGATTTTGTGAAAGGCATTTTTATTAATCCTAGAAAGCTTTAGTAACGCGTAGTCTGCATATCTTACTAAATTATGTATATACTGTATTGACGATTATTTACAAGTGAAACTAGTTACGTGGTCTTTAGGTATTTCTTGTCTTGTTCTTCTTTAATTTTTTCTATACTAGACAAACTTTATGGTCGGAGTGCAACGCCATCTTATCAACTTTGTTTATGTCGTTCCTAAGTATCACTCATGTTCAGATGTCGGGACAAGGGCAAATTACAGTGAAGCATCAGAATTATTTTGGAAGGCGCACTAAAAATTGTTCTAATAGCGTTAGTATGCACGTTTAATAACTCCTAAATAGTAAAACCCTGCATAAATAGATGTACGTACGCACAAAAGTTGTCAATACAGTTGTCTTTTTATTAAAATTTGAATCATTGACTTACAATTATATCGACGTCGGGTCCGCGCTAAAAAGTGTCCGAACTTATAGGGCGTTAAAATCGTATACAGAGCGTCATTCACGCTTTAGTTTTCGTTTGTTCGACTGACAGCGAAGCAAGCAAAATTAGACAGTACTGCAATGACATTACAATTTAAATTCAACGTTTTAGCTTTTTCATATTCCGTTACATGTCACTACGTTTAAATAGGTTGACTTGGGACATTTTTTTCGTGGTTTTTGTATTAGACCCGTCGTCCATTTATTTGTAAGTCAATGATTTGAATAAACTATTTTTTATTGTGCGAAGTAGTTTTATCGCTTTTGAGGGCACGGAAGGAGCCTTCGTATCATTCCCTTCCTGTACTTCTGACGTATTCTGGGCAGCAATTGACGAGTACCTTACGCCAATTGGCAAATCCTTTCATCACTAGTTCCATGCGTGGAACTATTAGGTTACAATTGTTCCTTGTGGAACTGAGTATATAGAACTAATGGAAAGAAACCACGATAATAAGCATTATAGTGTATGTCAATAGCTTTACCGCTGACCTATTGAACAATACATTATTGAAATTAAATGCATTTTGATCTCGAATACTAAATGAATTTAATTTCTTATTTTTGGAAAACCACAAGTGGATGATCACTATTGCAAATTGTAACCAAAAAGTAAATTCCATGAAATTGTTCGGAGAAATTAATTAGTCAGAAGCCCGTTAGTCATTTCGTAACTGACACAGATAACAACTTTTCGATTATTTGCAACACCACAACGGCAGGATGTAATTTTGCATAAAAACTCGAATAAAAACCAATAAAACTGCTGCATCTGTTGCGAAAAACACGAGTTGCATGCCCAACTAGAATGTCGTTGAGTGAAAAAAAAAAATCGTGTTGTCGCCGTATCGTTTACATAACGTGTCCCAAGCACAGCGAACCACAGATTACTCGATCTGCTCACATAACTGCCGATTGTTCCGTTCAAGTCAATTTCTACAACCAATTATAATTTATGAGTCATCGTTTTGGAGCATAATTTTCCTTAAATTATATTTTATTAATTTCCTTATGAAAAAACTTGGAGGCATAATATTAACTGTTCAATTAATTTCTCTATTCAATTAAATTTTATTTTTTCAATTTTTGAATTAAATTTGTCAAGTCAAATCAAGGGGATTTGAGGAATGTAACAACGATGACTTTTAAATTCAAAACCTGGGTTTGTTTACTCAATTGATAATTTTAAAATTGTCCGCATTAAAATATTTGTATTTTTCAAATAAGTCACTTGTTTTATTAAAATTCGTGATTACTATACATTAAACTATGTAACTCTAGACAAGAGACAAGCGAGTTTTTCAGGGTTACATCTTTCAGGGTAATATTGCACAGTGAGTCGAATAGCGCAGCGGTGGTGGTCGAACTTTCATCGCGCGCGCAGCCTTCGATGCTCCCGCGCAGCTGTCCACTGCCAGTACACTCTCTGGCGCACCACCGGCAACACGCGCCCCATAAATAATAAATATTTCCCAGATAATAATGACTGTTTCAGTTTTAAACTGAATTGGATTTGTGACTTTTGTGCCCTATGATAGTGAACTAGTGGTACTATAGCTTGTGTGTGAGGAGTTATGGGTTCAAATATAATAACGAGGTAATTATTACTATCTAATAAATCGTTACCGATATGCCAATTTTTATTAAACGAAATTTCTTTAAAAAATTGTAATATTGGCATTATGACGTTGATGTCTTTTGTAGCGCTCAAATATCCGTAGCAGCTACGATAGACAAGCTACGTAGCGCTTGCGCAAATACGCAATTCGTAGCATAATTTTCGCAAAATTTCTCAACAGAGAAACAATACCAAATAAAACATTATCAAAACAAATAATTTGTGCACATTCCGTCAATCAAATTATTTTATTTATAAATGCGGGAATGCAAGATCTACTAGTAAATAAGTATACGACTAAGAATAAATATAAACGGACAGTTCATTCCAGTATACGAGTATATGTATACATTACAAAATGGGTTATACGATGAGGTCAATGTTATACTACATCCGAGTTACAATGGGGTTGAGTTACACAGAACATTAGTAGTACTACTATTCTAGTAGTTATACTTTTTCTTTTTTTTAAACTTTATTACCAGAGTCTTATTTATATGAATGTCTTGACTCCGTCAATCTATCTGAACGTTCGAGAAAATAGTGTCATATTTGTTTATACCGTGTCATGTGCTCGTGGTATAGCGGTGCATAGTAAATTCTGACAAAATCTGGTTTTATCCCAACACCGTTATGGTTGTCACCAAGCAACATGTTATAAACACATTATGTTAAGAGGATTGTGGAACCTCGGTATCAGAAAAAAGTATTCGCAGTCTCGTCAATGCTCTTACCCAAATGTACACTACAGTACATACAAAATGCATTCACGTAAGGCAATGCTGGCAGTGCGAAATGTACGATGCGTTGATGCGTATATTTTAATCAAGAAACGAGTGTATATCCAAACTGCCACTTTAGGACAAGTTTTGGTACGCTTTAAACAAAGATTGTTTTAAAAAATAAAATTTGATATAAGCGATTTAGATCCGGAAAAAACAAAGTTGATTGATGTCACTTTTCTTATTTTAAAACATAAATGGTTACAGACAAGAAAACTGACGCCATAAAATTAAGTGCATTTATGCACTTATTCCTATGAATCAAAAATAAATTTCTAAAAACTATTATGTATTTCATTTGTTTATTTTGCACAACTTACACTTAGAGTACTTACTAAACATATAAGTCTTAGTGATATAAAGGTTGAGTTGATCACCGGTCAAAATTAAAGTACTGAATTTGGACCACAGAGCTTCGGACTGTGACCGTCTCCAAATAGTAACATGCGGATGTTAGAAATTTTGATTTTGTGTTTAAAATTAAGTATATATACTTAGTAATTGTTATATAAAAAAACATATTTTAGAAAATCATTGCAATATGCTAGGTATAAAAACGTGCTCGCTTTTTATATGGTGAAAGGTGGCTCCACAATCCTCTTAATTAAAGACGTGAAAGTATGTTTACTAAAATATTTAAAATGAGTTTATTACTGCAGAAATTTCATTTATAAAATTTTTGGTTTCCATTGCGCCTCTTCTGTGACCGATTTGAATATTAGAAACGTTTATATGATAAAATATGGTTTTTAGTTAAACACAATATTATAAAGACCATATACCGTATTACCATGTTTTAATTTAAGTACTTTAATAACTTATACTTTATTAATAACAGTAAAGGTTTTTTTGAAAGAGTTCTTCCACGGAAATACTGCCAACATGCCTATTTTTGCCGCTAAACAGTAATGTTGGTCATACTACTGTTTAGCGGTAAAAATAGTCATTTATTCCGTCCCGGTTCTGAAGGGCTAAGGAGCTGGTGAAACTACAGGCACATAGGACTCATCAACATTGTCTCAGGGTGACAGGTGCAGTGGTGATGCCTCTCAGGTCTTTGCAATTTAAAGTTCTGAGTTGCGCTGCAACTTTTATGATTAAGCATGTCACTTACCACCAGACACACGACTTGTTCATCACGTCACTTGATATCATAAAAAAAATATTAACCTTGAAATCCATCTATTTGATATGAATCATTCGCGTTTGCTTTCGATAACTCGTTTAAATGTTCATCAGACATTGACTATAGAATAACCATTGAAGATTAGACTTTATACACTTAGGTATTTAATCACTTTGTAGCAGTAGAGCTCCTTGTGAAATAGTTTGTCCAGGGAAGTACTACCACCTTATCTATTTCTGCCACCAAGCAGTAATGTCGGCATTACTGTGTTCCGGTTTTGAAGGGTAAAGGTGCTGGTGAAATTACGGGCACGTAGGACTTGTCAACTTATATCTCAGGGTGAAGGGCGCAGTGGCAGTGCCCCCTCAGATTTTTGCGATTTAAAGCTCTGAGTGGCACTGCAACTGTTATGGACAGGCGTGTAGCTTCCCATCAGGCGCATCACTTGTTCGTCACGTCGCTTGATATTATAACAAAAAGTATAGCAATCACAAAACAAAATATAATAACAACAATAATAAAAGTGTGGGATGTGGCCTGTAGTGGCATAACCCCAATCGTTTTATCATCCACAAACGGGTTGATTCCAGTCGGTTGGTTTTCTGTGGTGTGTCGCTTCCAGCTCAAATTTAGAAGGCCGTCTTTCTCGATACGGCACGTATTGTTCGCCGGTTCTTGAACCTGAGTCCCTGACCCTGGCCGACTCTGCCATTGCCGGGGAATACCGCCTCTCCCATTTAAAAATTCAAATTGAGAGGCGAGAATCTAAATAGATATCCGTAATGATAATAATCTTATTTCTTTCTTTACAGAGTTATGCTATAAATAAAAGTGGGTAATATTATGGACTTATCGTTTAATGTACCTTTGTAAGAGACTGGAGTCCATTAGGATTTAACCTGTGTGACGGATCTCCAGGCACTCACTCGACCGCATATCACATTGTATTGTCCTTAATATAAACAATAGCGTTATCTTATAATAAATTATAGAGAGCGGGTCTTATATAAGATTATTATAAATAATTGCTATAAAAATAAATATAAAAATCTTATACACACATCAAAAGGGATCAAGCACGTTTTTGCCAGTTATTGAAAATCAGGTATTTGAATTTTTTTTAACACCGATGGTTTTTTGGTAAATTTCATATTTCAAAAAATAAAAAAAAATTTATAAATTTATTTTATTTAACTTTAATAGGGTAATCAACTATTTAAAAAAATACCTAGGTCCGTAGACACTTCAGACGAGTGTGTAAAAATATTATAAATATTTAAAAACTTCAGTCTTCCAATTAATTACGACAATACTATTTACGAACATAGTGTAATATAACTGACCAAATATTGACCTTCCGAATTTCGGTAGTCTTGTAGGTATATTTTACCTTGTTTGCTTTTACTTTAAACAAATTAAGTTTTGAAAATGTTTACTGACAAGTTTGGTGTTTGAACTATGCAATAAAGATCGTAAAATGGTATTTTTGTAGGTAATATTATGTATACAATTGATATAATAGCAGGAATACATGCATAGATAACTTTCGTAATAATAAATTAAATATCATTATTCAGCGTTTGCGGTTGCAACAAAAGCGAGAGTAGAGCGCGCAAAAGATTTTGATCGATTGACTCGAGTTATTACAGGTCACAGAGATCGTAATCTGTCATTTAGTCGGTCAGTCAAATAAACCGCGCAGCCTTCGCCGCCATGACCGCATCTACAACAGTTGTAAGGAATTATGGGTTCTTTTATAGTATACTACACTTTTATTGGAATGTTACGCTTATTCCTAAGAATTAAGACATAAAGAATGTGTTATATTAGTTACGAAATATTATCAGTCCGAAACAATTTGTCGTATTGTTTTATAATATACGTCCTAAACATGGCATTTATTTACTTTGATGACTACGATGGCCCAACACGGTTTGCGCTGTGGATGCTGGATGTGGAGGTCCCGGGTTCGATTCCCGGTAGGACCAATTTGGGAAATATACTTACTTTTCTAAATTGGTTCTGGTCTGTATATTCTGGTACTCATAGCACAGAGAATTCTCTAGTTTAAGACCAGGCAATTGGTGTGGCTGTATAATTAATTGAAGAAAAACTAATTTTAGCGTGTTTTACGTAAATCATACACCGTAAGTTCGCTTCATTACACCGTGTTCAAACTTACCGTAACAGATTTCGGAAACCTCTTTTCAGGTACGAGGTTTCGATGCCGTACAAACTAATTCTATCAACCGCTTATCGTCTTCGGAGAACTAGACAACAGCTGGAATCTCATTTTTATTTTGTTGACATTTATGAGCAAAAAGCACGATGCATTTTGATTTCTATTTCATGGAGTAACTTAATCGCTTATGGGCCATCAAAATATGTTATATGTAAACTTAACTGTGTATACCGAAAATAGCAAACTTGACGGAGTGTACCGTCAAGTTCGCTTCATTACGCTGTATTCAAACTTACCGTAGCAGATTTCGGAAACCCTCGTTTCAGGTACGACCAATAATCGTCATGCCTCTCGTAATGCGTACAGACGTTCTCCACAAACATTAAATTGAATCTAACATTGAAATAGCAGTCCATGACAATATTTCAAAGGGGCAAGCATGCAAGTAATAAAAATTATGAAATTGTATAAATAAAATTTACAATATTAAGCATCGTTGTATATTAAACACATTCCAATACATTACAAAACTCAAGGTTAGTGCAGTTTGAAGCTATCGTTACGACATGTTCGACTATGAGAAAATAATTTACTTATTTGCTTAAAACAAGTGTTGCCAAATTCCGTATGCATAAACGTGTAATTGCGAAAAAAAGACGACTGTAACAAAAATTAATTACGAATCAGACTCAGTGTATGTAAATTAAGTGCACGAACATAATATTGCATTTAGTATTGCGGAAGCGAATATAAAATATAACCAGCAGATTTAAATCATTAAAAATATATAAAGGTAGATTAAACGATCGGTTTTTTTACGTTACACACAAGGACGATCTATACCTTTCTAAATACCAGCTTGCCACTTTAAACTCCTACTTCCCCGTTG